ATCAACGACGGCAACGAGCAGATCAACGACGGCAACGAGCAGATCAACGGTGGCGAGGGGATGAACCTCCAGCAGTGGCGATGTCTCCGGCGATGGTCTTTGGTGTTTTCGTGTTGATGCAGTGGCGATGAGTAAAACCAAAGAATGGAAAATGACTTCCCCCCAAAAAAGGGGAAGTCATTTTCCGGAAAAGAGGAGTGATTTTCCATTGACCATAAGTTATTTTCCTTTGATTTCTATTTTCCTTGCCTAGCCAAACACCAAAAACCCGGAAAATGATTTCCAGAAATCATTTTCCGGATTTCCAAACACACCCTTAATATATATCTCATATATATTATAAAAATGACCTTTTTAGTCATTTTACATCTATCAGCTTATCAAAAAATTAATTTTACCAAACACTTTTGAACATAATCAGTTAGTTAACGGCTCTTCAATTTTCAGCTTTCAGCTATCTTTTCAACTAGATTTCCCAAACATAGCCTATATATGTCAATTCCTAATTTAGCCTTAAGTTAAACAAAAAATTTGTTAAAATTTTTTTTTTTTCTTCTCATCACAGTACTTCTCTTCTCTTATGACACTTGATAGCAATTAATCATTATTCATATTTATATTTTTAATATTACTATTATTATTCTTTTGTTTAGAATTTAGTATACATTTTGATAACATTAAAAATTTGTTACTTCCTTTTAAAAAAAAATTTGTTACTTATATAAATATTTTGATCGAATATATCAATTTTTTACAATAATTTAATTGCTATAGAATAATATTATTTGACAATTTATGACCTATAACGTATGATTATCTTAAAACTCTAATAAAAGGTTGAGAAATTAAAATACTCTAAACTATCACCTAATGAAGGAAAAAAATCAAATTCTGAAAAATTGGATGATTAATAATGTTTATGTCAATAATTGGAGGACTAAAATCATTATTTTGTATAAATATAATATTAAAAAACATACTTTCCCTTTAAAATATTAAAAAATATTTTTAATTCTATTGGGTTAGAAAATCGTGTTGTTTTTTTTTAAAAAAAAAAAATATTTTCTAATTAAAATAGATGATTTTTAATAAAATTTTCTCTTTATAAAAAATAATAAAAACAGTGAAATTAGTAAATACTCCGGACTCCGTAGATTCTAAATTTGGAGTGGCATGGAATGTAATTTGATGGAAAGGGAAAGAGATTCGTTTAAAATGGTGACCACTAGATGGGTTCACACGTGCAATTTTTCATTTTGCTTTTCACAGCTTCCGATAAAAGTTGTGCAATAGAATTACTATAATAGCCCTACTCTGTCACTCTGCCAACAGTAGCGAGAACTGTTCCACAGGAACAATCACATTAATATTTTCAAACACTCCTCGTCACTTTCAAGGACCACACAGTGCACACCACTGCCCTCGCGTCCTTATTGTGCAATTTTAATTTATTTATTTTTTATGATACAACTTTTTTTTTTAAAAAAAATAATTTCGCTAGATTATATCACGACTCTTTTATGAACTCATGTGTTTATATTATAGACATAATTTTTAACTTATTATCATATTCTGATGTTACTTTTTTTTTTTTTTAAATTATTTGTAAAGGAGGTGTGTTTGATTCATGGATTTACATACTATGAATGAGAATCAAAATCATAGTTAATGTTCGGTTGACAACTTTTTAAAACATAATTATGAGATTTGATTGCCATTCAATTAAAAATTTCATTCCCTAATTAAAAAATGGTATCATTCCATCTTATTGATAATACAATTTTTAAGTTTGTATTAATGCTTTTATATTTTTGTTTTGATCTTTTTAGTCATATTGGTGCTTTGGATGTCATTATATTATGATCAATTGCCTTTTTTTTTTTTTTTTTTTATTTTTGCATTTTTAAAAGTTTTATTCCCATTATAGGGTCATACATAACCAAACATTAATATTGGTAATCATTTCAATTACACCCTTGATAAGCCTTGAATTAGCCCATAACTATGCTTCGTTTGTACTAATTTCTGAGTGAATGCTAGGTAATGTGCAAGAGTGAAGCATATTTCAGGTGTTTATGGCTTGAGGAATGGAAACTGGGACTTAGGCATCTAGGAGCTTCAAATGTGGACAAATCAGGACGATATTGAGGCAAATTGGTTCGCAAATGGAAGGGCAAAATCATAGCAAGGATCAACGGAGCATCGGAGCGAAGGAGAAGCCAAAAAGTGTCACCGGAAAGGTGTAACGCTGAAGGTCATGCCGTGACCATCAGCGTGACACTCTAGCCAGCTTTCAGATAGTCAGGTGTCACACTGCTGGTCACAACCTAAAATGCTCCTAGCACTTGTGGGAGGTAGTAAATAAGGTTTTAGGGAAAGAGTGATTTGCTCGACTTGTGCTAACAACCTACACCAAACCCGAGCCACATTCCTTCACCCTTTCCTTCCCAAATTTTCTATAAGATAATAATCCTTATTTTGTAGGATTATTATGAGGTTTTACCAACGAAATATCCAAAAATCTTAAAACCTTAGACCTTGTTTCCCGTTGGTTGTTTTCTCCTAATTTCCTAGAAGAAATGGAGAACCCCGTTCTGCCAAATCAAGGGGAGGAAAATGTTGTTGAGAACAACAATGGTGGGAACGGAAACAATGTTGCCAATTCCCACGCACCACAAGTGAACGTATGTTCACAAGATGGTGGGAGCACCGGGGGATACATTCCCATGACTCGGGTACCTTCGGTACCGAGCGGATCAGCTAAAAAACCAGAGTAATTCACCGGAGTCAGATCGAACTTCAAGAGGTGGCAACAAAAGATGTTGTTCTACTTAGCAACTCTCAGCTTGGCAAGGTTCTTGACCGAGAAAGTTCCTGAGTTGAAGGAACAAGATGCTCAATCCGTGATGGCGATTGGCTACTGGAAGGATTCGGACTTCCTTTGCCGAAACAACATCCTAAACGGATTGTGTGATACGCTATACGATGTGTATCGAAAGATCAGCACATCAAAAGTGTAACACCCCACTTTTCTAACTCTTAATTACAACTCTAAACAATCATTAACATCACTAAGCATCGGAAATAACTAAAAGATAATTAGTGGGAGTCTCACCGCCACAACCACCACTCCGTGGTGATTGCACAGGCTAAAGGGGTAAAACTAGAAATAAGATTAAGTCTGGCAACTAAATATAAATACTGGAAATATAAGGGGGAAAAACGTCACCCCAAATAGTCTACATCATCCTCAAAACATAAAGTCAAAAGGTCTAAAATCCATAACATGATCATTAAAGATACTAGAGTTTAGATATCACTATCTATGAGACTAATCTAACTCGACTTCTTCACACTATTGGGCCCACCTGAAAGGGGTTTTGCAAGCAACACATAGACAAATAGGAAAACACCCGTTAGCACAAAGTTAAGTATAACCACACTCAACCCTGTAAAGCATTCTAGCATTTACTTAGAAAACATTTGATTTCTTTGGAACAAAAAGCTCATCTCAAATCATCTTTAGATTTATCACATTCTTTCTAGATGCTTGCACCCTATAATATCAGCTGGCATTCTCATATATGTATAAGACTGATCACATAGATTCATCAACATACAAACTTCTCAAATAACTTAACAAGCTATTCATGCTTACAGATAGGATCATGCTAGTAGACCATATAACAGGTATTCTCATACTTTCACATTCTCATCACATAACATGCTAAATAGAGCTTCTAGTACAACAAGAGAATCATACTCGATGGAAAATCTTAAGTCAACTTTCTCATTATGAAATCTTATACGATACTTTACTCACATTCAATCTCGTGTAATACTATACATCACTCTCATATACAAACTTGTGCAAAGCTGTAAACATATTCATATGCAATCTCATGCGATACTATAATCATACTCTTATGCAATCTCGTGCAATAATATGCGTCATACTCATATGCAATCTCGTGCAATATTATACTTCATTCAAATAGGCAATCTTGTGCAATTCAATAATCTTTCTCATATGCAATCTCGTGTAATACTATAATCATACTCTTATGCAATCTCATGCAATACTATATACATACTCATATGCAATCTCGTGCAATACTATAATCATACTCTTATGTAATCTCGTGCAATAATATACTCATATTCATATGCATTCTCGTGCAACTATATACTCATACTTATATGCAATCTCGTGCCACTATATACTCATACTCATATGCAATCTCGTGCAATAATATACTCATACTCATATGCAATTTCGTGCAATAATATACTCATGCTCATATTCAATCTCGTGCCATAATATACTCATGCTCATATGCAATCTCGTGCAACAATATAATCATACTCTTATGCAATCTAGTGCAATAATATACTCATACTCATATGCAATCTCATGCAACAATATAATCATACTCTTATGCAATCTAGTGCAATAATATACTCATACTCTTATGCAATCTAGTGCAATAATATACTCATACTCATATGCAATCTCGTGCAACTATAGATATATAAATACTCATACACTCTTTTATAAAATAGAGTACTTTCTGTGGAGGTCTCTTTGTTACTTTCCTGAGTCTCTCTTGATTCTCTTTTTTTCTCTTGAGTCTCTTTTGACTCTCTTTCTTTCTCTTGAGTCTCTGTTGACTCTCTTTCTTTATCTTGAGTCTCTTTTGACTCTATTTCTTGAGTCTCTATTGACTCTCTTCTTTCTCTTTACTCGTAGACGGCTTAGGGTTTCACCGAAGCGTGAATTACCCCATCGGAAACGGCATAAATCCGACCCAATATCTCCTACCGTCTACGGAACCAATCTTGTGGTTCAAACTCTGTGGAATCAGGTATCGAACTATTAGTGTGCACACCCCCTAACCAGGATTCCAAGCTTGGCGGGAAGTTTCCAACCTCGTAACGTGAGAATACGTCGCGTTACATATACTGGGACCGCAATGTCCATAAATATCTCCCGAGAGGACATAGTCCAAACGGTATCCTCCAAAACCTCACCGATATAGATAATACATAAATATATCTCTCATGCATCAATATCATGCATGCAAACAACTCTACTACTTCTCAATTCATCAAAGAATGATATACCACATGCTTATGGTTTCTGAAAGTATTCTTGGGCTCACGTTGGCCCCTTATGCATTTTTGAAATATGACACATGTGAAATGCCAAAACGCTCTATAACATGCTTCTAAGTCATGTATAAATTAACATGAAGAATTCAAAATATAATGTCATGCTCGATTTGCAAATGGACAACTTCTATACATTTCACTTCAACAAATATGCTTCCATTCTCATTGATCAAATAATCACAATTAATCATACTATAATAGTGAATAACATTCTCAAATGGTCATGCTTCTGTACTTAATAAAACATCAAACAGATCACAAGATAACAACTTCTCATATACAGTGCATAGCAAAAAAAAATATTCGTTCTGTGTAGTATTTCTTCACAAATTCCTTCATAACATACTCATTTTAAAACCAAATTCAACGAAATCAAAGCTAAAACGTGCGTCGAGACGGTCCCGAAGAGCCGAGCCACAAGGGCCCGGCCACTGCACAAATTCTTCTCAGAATCAAAGTCAGGGGCCTGGGGCGGGACTCTTCATAGTCCGCTCCTTACACCCCGTTACTTCACCGGGACTAGACAGCGGCCCTCCTCTAGGGCCGTGCCCTAGTCCCGTGCAAGCACGGCTCTAGCCGGCGGCCTTCCTGATGGGCCGCGGCTAGGGCCGTCCATCTGATCTGGTGCTCACTGTGTTGTGCACCAGAAGGTTTTTCATCTGCAAAATCCAATCCAAACAAGTCCAAAACAATCTCAACAACTCACAAAAAAATACTAAATTACTTCTAAGCATGAACACATCAAAAATTCATAGTTTCTACTCATTTCTACTCAAAACTAAGGCTTCACAGAGCCAATTTTAAAGAGGAATCCATGGGGTTATACCTCTTGTTGACTTCTATTCTTCCAGCTTGGTTTCCACCTTCTTCCTTGGCTAGCTACAAACTCCTTCACCTTCTAAACATCTCAACAAACCACACAACCAACTTAAACTAGAATCTCAGAGAGTGATGAATGCTAGAAGGGAGAATGACTGGATGGAGATGAAGGTTGAAAACTTACTGTGATTTCTTGGTGTTCTTGCAAGGAAGGGAGCTCAATGGTGGAAACAAAGAGGCTAAGTCTGATAAATGCTCAATATATAGGAGCACAAAACCCTAGGATGATCTCCTATGATTGGTGGATGGCAAAGTGGTAAATAGTTAGGCTAGAAAATGGAATCAGACAAGTTTTGGATGGTTTGTGGTCCACCATGCTTCATGAACCAAGGGCTAGAAATGCTATTTCAAATACTTTGGGGTTGAAAATGGATTTTTTCAAAAAGCTAATTAGATGAACCCTTGTTTAAAATCTTTTGAATTCTCTCGGTCACACATAGATAAATTTCTCGATTTAAAACTTAGTACGCGAAGTACCCGAGATTTTAGGAATTTCGAATAAGATAAATTTTGGTGTCGAATTAATTTAAAATCTGACTAAAATAATTTTATTCAAACACCAATTGATCGCAAAAATTTTTAATGGAGTGAAAATGACTATTTTGGAATTTCTTAAAATTGGATTTATAAAATAAAATTTTGGGTTGTTACAAAAAGCGTTGTGGGATGCCTTGGATTACAAGTATAGAAGTGAGGATACCGGCGCAAAGAAATTTGTTGTTGGCCGATTTCTTGACTTCAAAATGGTTGATTCCAAGACCGTGCTAAGTCAGGTAGAAGATTTGGAATTAATCTTCAACGAGATCCGTGATGAGGGCATGGTGTTGAGTGAAGCCTTCCAAGTGGGACCTATGATCCACTTGTTGCCTCCAGGTTGGAAGGATTTCAAGAACTACCTTAAGTATATGCGAAAGGAGATGAATCTAGAGGACATGATCCAGTGACTTAGAATTGAGGAGGGGAACATGATGAATGATAGGAGAGTTCCTGTCATTGATGGTGCTAAGGACAACATTGTGGAGCACGGTAAAAGCTCCAAGAGGAACAAGAAGGATAAGCAAAAGCTAGGTCTGAAAGGAGGTGTTACCAAGAATAAGTTTCCTGGTACATGCTACAATTGTGGTAAGCCTGGCCACAAGGCATCTATATGCAAGGCTCCAAGGAAGAAAAATAAGAGTTCTAAAGCCAATGTTGTTGTAGAAAGCAGTCAAAAGGAGGTTGAGATTAGTCTTTCGACTATGGTGACCGAGGTGAACCTCGTGGGCTCTAACCCACGTGAGTGGTTCATCGATACTGGTGCAACCAGGCATTTATGTTGCAACAGAGAGATGTTTAACACCTTTGAGACCGTTGAGGGTGAAAAGGTGTGAATGGGAAACTTTGCTCAGTCTACTGCGGAAGGCACGAGTAAGGTGGTTCTGAAGATGACTTCCGAGAAGGAACTAACATTGAACAACGTGCTGTATGTTCCGGAACTGAGGAAGAATCTTGTGTCTGGCTCGCTGCTGAACAAGCATGGGTTCCGCATTGTGTTCGAGTCAGAAAAAGTGGTTTGTCTAAGTTAGGGATGTTTGTTGGTAAATGATATGTAACTGATGGGCTTTTTAAGCTCAGTGTAATTCATGTTATCAATAAAAGCAAAGTTAATTCTGTTTACTTGCTTGAGTCTTCCAATTTGTGGCATGGTAGACTAGGTTATGTTAATTTTGATTCTATACGTAGATTAATTAGCATGCACCATATTCCTAACTGTCAAATTAACACAAATAACAAGAGTGAAATCTGCGTTGAGGCAAAACTAACGAAAACACCTTTCAAATCGGTTGAAAGGCAGAGTGAACCACTAGAATTAATCCATAGTGATTTCTGCGATTTTAGATCGATACAAACGAGAGGTGGTAATAAGTATTTTATCACGTTTATCGACGATAGCACACAATACTGCTATGTGTACTTGCTTAAGAGCAAAGATGAAGCCGTTGATAAATTCGTTCTTTATAAGAATGAAGGTGAAAACCAACTTAATCGGAGGATTAAGAAGGTTAGAAGTGATCGAGGTAGCGAGTACAAAGCACCGATTGGTGTCTTATGTGCAAGTGTAGGTATCATACATGAGTGTGCGTACCTTACGCATCTCATTCGAACGGTGTTGCCGAACGAAAGAATCGTACATTGAAAGATATGATGAATGCGATGCTTATAAGTTCGGGCCTACCTCGAGGTATGTGGGGTGAGGCGATTTTGACAAGTAATTACCTTTTAAATAAGGTACCCCACAAGAAGCTCGATAAGACTCTTTATTAGCTGTGGAACGGTATGAAATCTTCCTACCAGTACCTGAAAGTGTGGGGGTGTCTTGCCAGAGTTTTGGTGCCAACACCTAAGAAAGTAAAGATAGGTCCTAAGACGGTGGACTGTATCTTTATTGGCTATGCACATAACAGTAGTGCTTATTGGTTCTTAGTACACGAGTCCCATAATACAGACGTATAATAGAATCAAGAAATGCATATTTCTTTGAAAATGTATTTCCTTGTAGGTCCAACGAGGGACCAAGTACGTCAAAACGGACATTTGACAAAACTATGGATAATGATAGTGGAGAATCTGAGAAAGAACCCGAGCTCGAGCCAAGACGCAGTAAGCGGGCAAGAGGTTGAAAAATCATTTGGTCCTAATTTTCTAACTTACTTGTTAGAGTATGATTCGGGTAATCTAACGTGTTTACTAGAAAATGAACCCGATTTTCTATCTTGTTTGATATAGAACGAGCCTCGAACGTATGTAGAAGCTGTGACTTCTACGGAAGGACCAATGTGGAAAGTGGCTATAAAGAGTGAAGTGGATTCTATCCTATAGAATCACACTTGGAAACTTGTTGATCTTCTTTCGGGTAGTAAACCCTTAGGATTCAAGTGGGTCTTTAAAAGGAAGATAAAACTGGACGGTTCCATCGAAAAGTATAAGCGATGCTAAGTTATGCCAAACTTCGGTATCGTTGTTCAAACACAACACTTCCACTAGTTTCGTCCGTGCTGGGAGGACGAAACTGAGCTCTCGTGATTCGGCCTTGGGAGGGCCGAATCTGCGTGATAGTTTCGTCCAGGGAGGACGAAACTGCGTGATTCGGCCGAATCTGCGTGTTAGTTTCGTCCAAGGAGGACGAAACAAGTAACGAGAGCTGATGTTTCATGCAGAACAGCAAGAGCCAACGATTTGACTGTTGTGAAATTCAATTCACCCGTTACGGAATTAATTCTGTATTAATTCCAATTTTAAAATTCGAATTTAATTTCAACATCATGGGGCTGTTGTTTCAGGTGTTACAAAATTGGTTTTAATACCAATTTAAATGCCAACGTAAATGTTATTTCATCCTCAAGCCGTATATAAGAAAGAATTGGGCAACAATTTTTTTTTACAAGGAAATCTTATTATTTTCAGTCTCAAAACGCTCTACTTCTACTCCTTTCTTACCTAATTGTGTTCATCCTGTTGCTCTAGGTCGCCGGGTTCTTTGTTTGGGTGCTTAAACATTGAATCGTAGCACATTTTATCCCGAGGAAACCAAGGCTACAACAATCCTAGCACTTGTGGGAGGTAGCAAATAAGGTTTTAAGGAAAGAGTGATTCGCTCGACTATCAAGGGTTACAGGCGACGCTAGGGACTTGGTTACTTCGACACGTATTCTCCCATGACGAGAATAAACTCCATTAGGATGATACTCGCTATAGCCGTGTTGCGGAATTTGGAAGTTCATCAAATGGACGTTAAAACCACTTTCCCAAATGGCGAATTAGATGAGAAAATCTATATGGAACAACCCGAAGGGTTTGGGGTTCCGGGCTAAGAAAGGAAAGTGTGTAAGTTGGTTAAATCGCTCAATGGTTTAAAACAAGCGCCTAAGCAGTGGCACGAGAAGTTTGACCATGCGATGTTAACTAATGGGTTTAAAATA